ATTTCACCAGGACAACATCCCCCTTTGGTTGTTCAGAACTTTCATTATATTATCAGTTGTATCTATTACCTACAGATGTTACAGTTTTTCTCGATTGCTAACACACTAAAATTATACATAAAGCACAATTATTTTAACCGACACTCAAAGAGCAAAACATCGGCTCAAATCTCCAAAACTCTAAACACGTTTTCAGCTTTTCACACAATTTGCAAATCAACATGGCACTTTTTTGCAAACCACTGCACACGTTTCTCCACGTAAGACACAGGAATCTGACATAAAGTCACGTGTTAGCTGGTTTAAAACACTGATATTCAAAAATACCTCACACAAAAATACCTCACACATGGATCAATGATCAAGAAACACGTTCCACCTGACCAAGTTTTGGAGATTTGAGCCGATATTTTGCTCTTTGAGTGTCAGTTAAAATAATAGTGCTTTACTGTATGTAGAATTTGAGTGTGTTAGCAATCGAGAAAAACTGTAAAAAGATCACAGGTGAGTACTTTCTTACAGCAACAATGGAAGCCAACATGGAAGCATGAGCAGAGGAAGAGGAAGAGCTGGGCTGAGAGTGAGAGGAGGACGAAGAGTACTCTCTAATGAAATGAAATGTTATCAACCATGGTTTGACGATGAGAGAGGCTGGACAGAGGGTTCAGCCTAATCTAAGCTGTTGCACAGTACTGTTGCCTCTGTAATCCGGACACTTAGACTTGATAACAGGTTAGTTACCAGTTTTAAACTCTGCATAATTCATGATATATTTAAGCAATAGCTCACGGCCTGAAGTGAGCTATTGCTTTTATAAAACGGTTACCAAGTGTGGCAATATGAAAGAAAAATACACACTCTAATTTAAATAGTTTTTATTAGTAAATAATGATGTTCAAAATAAAATAGTCCCTCCGTTGCCTTCTGCACAAAACATAGTGGTTGCTATGCAACAACACTAACAGCTAGCGAACATATTAGACAGAGAGCGTTGATCGATTATTTGGCTATTTATTTACATTAATGTGTATGTTGCTGTTTATTGTGCACCCACTGAAAAACTGTCCAGCATCAGTAGAATGGCTTACGTGGTGACTTGTATAGGTTGAGGTTGTTCTAGGCTGTTGCTTGGCGTGGCTAGAATATTGCTCCACTTTCTCCGGTCCCCGAGATTCGTTCCAGTAGCTCTGGAGAGGGAAAGGGGGGGTTTTCGCACCTGTGCATAACGGTCCATAATTTCTTCTGCTTTGTTTCAACGACTTGCATCAGAAAGCTTTTGAAAGGTGGTACTTTCCAGTTGGTCTACCTGCTCTTCACGTAGCTCTGCATGTCGTTGTTTGGGTGCTTTTTTTTCTGGAGATAGGCACTCCTCAAGTCCACTCTCCATAGTAAGACCCCCGGAGGTCGAAGTTAATCTTAAAAATGTTTCCATTTTATGCTTTGTAAAGTTTTGTTTCCGTAACAGGAAGAAATGTAAATATATTATTAAAACTGACAAGTCAAATGCAAGCAATCTGATTGGTCGATAGCTTTTTTGCGGAACATCTTTGATTACAGATGTGAAAACATCGTTTGGCTTGCTTTAAAAGTAGCGCAATTCATTATGTCCAACCCTTGGAAATTATCGTAGATATCCCGCCCCTATAAATGCCCAAAGGAAAGGAACTGCACACTGAATATGTTTTTGCCGTTTGGATGTCTATGTCTGGACTGGAACCGCTGCGTAAAAAG